ACTTCCTTATAATTTATTATCCTTAATATCAAAAGTGAAGCCTTTTCAATATCTTCAGCCCATCACTTTCAAGGTCATCTTTATTCATTTTCTAGTATTACCAACAAGCACTTTTCCTTTTTCTATATGTTGTATTGAAACTTCATTATCCTATAATTAAGTCAAGTTTGAAAGATGAAGTCAGTAGTTCTGGTCAAATGCATAGTATCTAGAAAGGTATGACATTATTACTCATTGATTTCCATGATAAGAAAATTTATATACATGTTATTGATCAAATTATTTTAATTGTGTTTCTCATGGGGGGAAAGAACAAAGATGAAAAAAAGCACTCTAGTATAAAGCAGTATTCTTTAGGTTTTTTTTAATTGATACCTTTTGTAAAATAACTTTGGAAGAACTCTACCCATTTCAATTGACAGCTCAGTTGCAAAGCATGTAATTTTTGGCACATTTTAAATGTTGACATTTGAAACTATACCTGATGTATCATTCTTTTAAATGTTCCCAATGAAATACAAATACATGAAGAGTTTAATATCCTACCACATTTATGAAAAATAAGTGAATGTGCTTGCTCTTCTTAACATTTGGAAATTATACTTTCTTTCTCTTTATGAAATCATATTCTTCTTTACTATTCACCCTTTTCACACAGAATTTTATTCTACTGAAATATATTTTTATATTAAGAGTTATTTTAGATGATCCCTTGAAAAAAAAGTGAGGAAAACTACTGATGCACAAAAAGAAGGGATTAAAGAACAGGTGTAACCAGAACGAAAAATGTAGAGAGAGGTCATTAGGTGAGCAGGTGACTTTTTTTTTTTTTTAGTATCAGGGATTGAATCCAGTGGGGCTTGACCACTGAGCAACATCTCTAGCCCTTTTTTACATATTATTTAGAGTCTTGCTGAATTGTTTCCTGGCTAAATTGCTGAGACTGGCTTTGAATTCATGATCCTCCTGCCTCAGCCTCCAGAGCCACTGGGATTACCACAAGGTACAGGGAGCAGGTGACATTTTAAAATCTCTGCTGTGATGTCTATGTTTTCTTTGCAGTTGTCTGCATTGCTACTATGTAAACCTCTTCTAATCTCTCATAAAAATCTTCCCCTGCTTAAAAACTTATATGTAATAAAACATGAACATAGATAAAAATTTTAGTTTAAAATTTCATGCTCAGTGGCTATAAATTAATATTTTTATAAAATTCTTCCAGACTGCATTGTCATTATAATTTTATTAGAATTAATAATTATGATGATATTGATAATAACTGTACGGATCACTTTTGGAAGACTTACTAAATTTAAAGCACTAATCTAAGCATTAACTACTTATACCTCGACTTTATCTTTCTATCAACATATAGAGTAGCCACCAAAATTTAGAAATGAAAAGGCAAATGATATTATGTAATAATACATTAAAAAGTAATATTAAACTTTCTAAACATATGAGGTAGTTACTGTGATTATACAAGTTTTACCTTAGAGGAAACTGAGGCAGTCAGTTTATTAACTTAACCAAGTGACTAAAAAGTTGTCAATTCAGAAGTAAGTGAGGCAGTTTTTTAAGAGACTACACTCCAGAAGAAAACATAATAAACTTTTTATAGATTTTAACACATAATTTGCTTAAATAGAAGTAAATTTTATGAACAGTACATTCCTTAATGAGATTTTAAAAGTCTACTAGAAGATCCAGAAGAGTTTAGAGGAGTTCATATCCATAGAGGCTTCTTTAACTTAGCTATTTTCTCACAAAAATATGGATGTAGAAATCAAAGGACAGGATAAAATGTGAAATATGCCAATACATTATAGAGATAAAGCCAAAGTGAACAGAAAGAACTAGAATTATGGAGGGCCTTAGAAATTATTTAAGACAACCTTGGATTTATGTTTCTAGATTTAGATGGATCTTAATGTGCAGAAGTAGCAACCAAACTCCACTCTATTTATGTGACAGGCTAAGGTCAAAGGCTTAGTTAGAAGAAAGATGTGATATAAACCAGGCCAATTCTCAGAGGCTGTTCTTTACATTGCTTACCAGGGTGCTCCAGGTCCCTTCTCTCCCTGACCCTTTCACCAGAGCATATATATAGCTGCCAGCTCATTGACAGCCTGAGGTGTTGTATGCTATGGCTTTTGACTGGACTCAAACCAACCTACTCATAGGAGTCCCCTTTAAGAAAAAGAGTACAAAATCACACAAAGAACCTTAAGTGCAGGGTTTCAGGAAGGTCTTATTTAAGTCAAAGGCCTCTGCCCTTTTTTATTCTTTTTTTTTTTTTCTCATATATTTACCTTAGTTTACTTCCCACTGTTCTAATCGGACTGACCCACACCTGATACTCTGAAGTATCCATATTGTTTTCTGGGATAACTTTCATTTTGCCCTGTTGTGAAAGTCTTGCCCAACCTTTTAGAACCAGGCAATTCTCGTACCATAATGCAGAGCCCTTTCAAAGAAAATAGATAATTCTTTTAGTCATAAAATAAAATTTTATAAATGAAGAGATATTTGTAGCTATGCATGCCAAACTAAAATTTATTATAAAGATGCTAATTATGCTCAAAATAGTCTACAAATACATTCAAAGTAATAAATAATTTTCAAGTCAACTGAACAAATAACAAATTAAGTGCAGAATCCAAATAATTTTGTTAATGTAAATTAGCAAATATAATTATTTAATTCAATTTCAAGACATTAATACTGGAAAGGATAAACTATTTAATCAAGAGGATTGATATAACTTTTCAGTTCTGGGGAAATTTATATCTGAAATTCAACTTAAATTGAATTAAGATTTAAATCTGAAAATGAACTCTCAAATATTAGATATTTATTAGAAAGATAATATCCTTACTCTCTTGACATTAGAAAGAACTTTCAGCATGACTAGTTAGCTCAGTGAAAATCCTGAAAATGTCAAAGACATGTCATTTTTTTCCTCTTTCCCATTTCTTATCCATCTATCAAATTTTAGAGTGTGTTAAGTGATTATGTAAATAAAGCATTATAAAAATACTTGAAGCTAGAGGGATGGAAATATTAAAAATTACATTATTTATCAGAACTTCAAATGATATTTTGTTTCCAGCTCAAATCTTTAGGTCAGATATTCCAAATGCTCCAACCAGAAATGTATAGTAGAATTTCCTCATTTTATAAACTTAGAGATTAGGAGTTCAGGAAGACTCAGTGAATTGCCATATATTCCATAACCATGGTAGATGAGCTTAAGAACAGGAGTCCTGACTCTAGTCTCAGTTCTATGCCTCTTTGCAATGGTAAACTAATCCTGCTTCTCAGTTATATTTTTAATCTTTGTCAGGATGATTTTCCCAACCTCCTCCTCGCTGGAATTTAGATTCTCTTACATTTTAAACTGCAGTCATTAGAAATAAAAGAGAATTATGATGTTACCAATTCACTTCTCACACATACAAAAAAATCTTATCAAAGCTCTGAAAATCTTATGAGAGAAGCTAATAAAGGGAAAGCAGTTAAAATATGCACCTTTTATTTTTAAGCCACTTCCAATGCATTTCTTTTAAAATGACCAAATATAGATTACAATTATACATTGGAAAGATATTCTAAAATTATTGTATAATCATCTTAATTTGCACATGAAGAAATGAGTGGTTCATAAAGTGGGAGGTCAAAATCAGCTCTTCCTAGTAAATGAATTTTCTTCCATTATAAGCTCTTTCCTACATATCTTCATTAAGCAAAATGGGGACCTTATAAAATTTGATTTGGCACCACATCACATAAAAAAGTTCAGGAAGCAAAATCTGTCAGATATAAGTAGGCATTTTGAGTACTCAAACCTTGCACTAAGGAACAGTGAGTCATGTGAAATGTAATGTACAAAGGAAGCTGACACATAAAAGGATAGAACAACAGTGATGAGTTCCCAAAGACACGCTGTGGGACAAAGAACAATTACACACAGTCTATTTTTGGGTCTAAACAGTATAACTTAGGAATTGAAAAATCACAGCTTAAATCCAGAAAAAAAGAATTATGTCATATGGCTTTGAATTTAAGATAATTTAGTAGTCCTTATTTTCATTAATGTTATTATAATTTATCAGGACAATAAGCTATTGACTTGTTAAACACTTCCCAGTCTAAAAATAAATTTGGACAGGAAATCTACTTTAATTTTGTAAGGAATAGGGCAATCAGGTGTAATAAAAACTGCACAATTAATAAAATGCCGAAGGATGACAAATCTGTCTGCAACAGCAGTCTAATGCCCTGAAGCCTGTAGTTCATGCCAAGGACTGAAATTGAGACTGCTTCGCCAGGGAAAATTAAAATAGTATAGAGAGGAATTTAAAATTTTTAAAACAATTCACACTCTATGTTCCTATTCCCTTTTGATAAATAAGGTATCTTTTTATATTACAATTTTGAGAGTTTTAACCACATTTACAGAAGTATAACATTGACCGGGTGAGTCAGAAAACAAAGAACCCTGTAGAAAAGGAAAAAGAAATGTAGCTTGAATGAATAACTAGCTCTATTATCTTATAATACTGAATATAATTTTTCTCCCTCTTTATATACATATATGTATGCATATAGTTTTATTTATAAATTATATATATAATGCATATTCCTGATGTATGTGGCTAATATTACTCATTACTAGTAATACTAAATCTGGTAGGATACATTCAAATTGATTTAAGACTCTAAATCATCTGACCAAAGGAACAAGAACATGGAGTTAATTCTACTCTCCAATGTCCCAAGAAAACTATTTTGAAAGTTGACAGATCTTCATAATTTCATCTTTATCAGTGTTTTGTTGGATTGCTTTTCAAATTATCCTTTTATTCAGAGGCTAACTATATGTCATTCTTTGAAATATTTCTTACTGTTCCTAAGATGTTCTTAATATCCTTAACTTTATTGGAAATCTGCAAATTATTTTCATTAGTCATGAGTATTCTTTGGAATGTATGCAATACCTGAAAGTAGGGCCATCCAAACTTTTGAGAGGTAGCAGCACAAGTAGTTGGTGTATCATCGTAGGGCCCTGGATGACAAGAGAACATGCCTGTGAATTTGGTGATATCACTAGTAGATAGGGAATTTTTACAGAATACAACTTAAGGGTATACCTAATATGTTTCTTTGTTAAAACCATAAACATATATTTTAAATGCTGCATTTGAATGGAAACTTAGGATGAGATATATAAGGAATATTTAGGTGACCATTAAGTTAGTAAGAAATTATAAACTTTATTCTTGGCATCTTATCTCTTAAGAATGACAACTCTAAGGGGCACAAATATGAGGGCATATGTTTCCCCTTCAAGATCTTGGAAGAAGTAGAATCTATGTACAAATGGCTCTAGTCTATAGGCTAGGGATAGAGCAGTTCCTGCCCTCATAGAACTTGTGATATAAGGAGAAAATAAATAAGAAACGAATATATAAAGGTCCAGTGGTACTAAGTGCTATGAAGAAACATAAAGTAGGCTAAGGGAGTATAGGGAGACCAGTGTGATGGTGGTATACTAGACAGAATGGTCATGGAAAACTTTTCTGAAGAGGCTGCATTTGTGTAATGACTTAAAATAAGGGAGCCGGCCAGGAAATGTTCAGAGAAGGGCTGTTCCTAGAAGGGATGACTTGGCCAGTAGTTGTGAGGCAGGAGGTACTTGGAGGAAGAGTTCACATGGTTTGAGTGGACTAATGAAAGCAAAGCATGGTTAGAGACCTGGTCCAAGAAGGAATTAGAGGGTAGATAGTGACAGAAATAAGCTTTAACTTTCCTTACACATAGGGTGTGAGCAACAAGTTAAATTCATCCATTGCTAAACAAAGACTGACTTTATATAAGTGTCTTTTGTTTACATCTTTTGAGACTCAAACTATTATTAAAAACAAAGTATTGCTATAAATTAGTTTACCTTGCTTTACAGTTAAAAAGATATTTGGACTTATACAACTTAAAAAATGACAAGGTGTGACTTATAAATTATTTATCTCAATTAACTTATATTGTGATTTGATCTTTTATTGACTTGACCCTTGTGTTGCTACACCTAAGATTAATCTGTGCTATTGTCAGGGATTTCTATAAAGTCAAAGGGAACATTTATGTGAACACTCCAAAATATTGAGAAACATCATTAAAAAGAGCTTCTGCAATAAAATGGTTTAAGAACCAAAATCATTTTATTTAGTTTATAAGTTCTATACTTTACACATTTTAATAATTTATTATGTATGATTATAAACAAATATATGCTGTAATTAGGATCACAATCTGGTCTTATTGAAGAGATGTATTTGCAAATTAACATAAACATAATATATTTAGAAGCTGGGTTTCTAAAAGCTTTTTTGGGATAAAATAAAAACCCTTGTCAGTCTCAGACTTTATTGGCATACATATGGAATTTAGTGGGTTCAAAGTTGAAGTTTATTTTAAGTATTTTCCCAACTTTGAAAAGCCACTAGAAATAGAAATTGACCAAAGGACAATTTGTTTTCTGTGCAGTTCAAAGATTTTATTTTTCATCCCAGACAAAAATGCTGTGAAAGAATTTTTCCTACCCTTTTTAGTTTTGGACGTATAAATGGTCACTTCTGATTATTGGTAAATTTATTGAAGAATTAATTTTGGTCAATAACTGTGTTGCATGTATTAACAAACTATAGCCTATGTGTTAGCATGTATTAATGCTTTTTTCCAAAAATATCAGTATCTACAGTATCAAACTATATAAATAAAAGAGATTGATACCCTAAAAGAGAGCTTATAAAGAAACATCGTTAAAACTGCAATGAAAATGATAAATATAACTATGGAAAACATGAAAGAGTTAATTTTTTTCAAGTAGTATGCTTGACTAAAGTGATTGGTACTAAAGTTGATAAGTACAATCAACGAAATCCTGGGAATACAGAAAAGAATACAGCAAAAAATAATAATTATAATAATAAAGCTTCTTCATGTAATGTTTCCATAGTGAAGCACAATAATTAAGCCAAAAGAAAAAATACATACCCAAGTATATTTATTGAGGAAATCAAAACCTTGAAGAAATACATTGGCTAAATTCAGCTGATAGCTAGAAATGTGGTTAAGTACTTTCCAAAATGAAGAATTAAGTGAAAGATAAGCTCCAATGTCTTCTATAATGTTTTGATATATAAGAAATAATTTTATAACAGGAAGAAGAGAGACACAGTCAAGTACAGGAGATCTGTAAGCTCCATAAATTCTTTTAAGTACTTTTTAAAGTGATACACACACACACACACATACACACACACACACACAAACACACACGGAATTATTTACTTTCTTCTGTTTACTTTTTAAAGGAGATTTTGATAGATGTTTGATGAGTTTATTGAAAAGCGGGAAATGGAAAGTTAGAGCTATAATTTTAGACGTTATCCATCTTTATCCATCTGTATTCTTGTTCATGATGAGAAACCCATTCATTTATTCCCAGTTTTCAAAACAATAAAACATATTCTTTCCCTTCCCTGTACAACAAAAGAGATCATCCTTTTCTTGAGTAATTATAAGCAAAAAGTGGTTTGACCACAATTCCAGTCCAAGTCATTACTACTCAATTAGAAACAAATGTTTTATTTTGGAGGAAAGTTTTAATTCATTTTACATACAAAATCACTGCGATTCATAATGAGGGAAATGCAAATTAAAACCACAATGAGATACTATATTATGTCCACCAGACTAACAAAAATTAGAAAGTTTGACAATATTACACAACATTGGAAAGGATTTGCTGCAATGGAAACCTCACGAACTGTTTGTGGGAGGATAAATTGGTCCAAGCACAATGGAAAGCTGGGATCCTGAAATTTCTCTCATAAATATATTCCCTAAAGAAATTCAAGAAACCTGAATACTTGGAGATATGTAGAAAATATGTTTGTGGCTTCCTTGTTTCTGATAGCCAAATGGCATAAGCAATCCAAATGTCCCTCGGCAGGACAAAGGACAATTACAGTCCAATACATTCATACAAGGAAACACAGCAACAGTGTGAAGAGAAGAACTATAGCTGCACATTTTGACAATGATATGTCACAAAAACATAAAGCTGAATGAAAGAAGAAAAGCCCCAAAGAACATATTCCTGATGGTTTCACTTTCATAAAAGTAACAGTAAAAAATAATAAAGCTAATATATTGTTTAGAGACACATATATATATGTGGTAAAGCCATAAAATAAAGCAAGGTAATAATTAATGCAACTTCAGTTTAATGGTTTACTTCTCTGTATGGATGTGTGAGTCTATCAGAGAAGAATATGATGTACAAGCTGGGTTCTACTCAAGAGGTTTAAAGAGTGCATATATGCTGCATACATATTTCAAAAATAAGAACTGTAAAAAATAGAACCAATTTATAGAAAAGTATACATAGTATGATTTCTTACTTTATAATCAAATATTTGCTTTGAATCCATGAGTCAAAACATATGAAAATATAACATATTTGGGGCAGGTTGGGGAATTTGGGTGGGAGAAGGAGCTGCCTCACACAATACTGATCCAATTCAAAAGTTTACTTCCTTTTATAAGAATATTAAAATTAGACCCCTTATATGATTTCAGAGATATTGCCACATGAAGAATTTGTACACTTAATATATGACAAATATGATTTAGGTTGGCAAATTCTATTTTATTTCAGGTTACTTTCCTAGTTAACATGGATGGAATTTTAGGACACCAATTGTGACAGACCCTTGAATCAAAGCATATGGGTATGAATGTCTCTCTCTCTCTCTCTCTCTCTCTCTCTCTCTCTCTCTCTCTCTCTCTCTGTGTGTGTGTGTATGTGTGTGTGTGTGTGTGTGTGTGTGTGTGTGTGTGTATTTATTCTCAAGTCCAGTCAGAATGGCAAAGGTTTGACTTAAAGTTGTATTTTGTACCCTTAACAAGTTCCTGAGACTTTTAAATTGGAATAATTCAGACAGGAAAAGTATGCTCCCAAGTCACAAAACAAAGAGCAAGTGTTATAAATGTCTTGATATTTATAGGTAGTTCAATAAGAATGAATACTTAGTATTTAGTTGTTTTACCACAACATCACTGGATTTAAACACACGCCTTGTTCACTTGTTTATTTTGTCATTGTGTGATTGAACTTCATGTCTTATTCTCACAATATACAGAGTTCAGTAAAGAGAAAACTGTTGTGGGGCTCCCATTAATTATTTGAGTGCCACCTTCATCTGTGTGCTCCAGAGTGATCTGCTTGATTTAGAATGAGGGATTTTCATTTTACCAAACAGCTCTAATCCTTTATATATGATAGAATTAATGTAGCTCAATTTCTGGGCTGACCATTGGAAACTGTTCTGAAAAACTAAGGCTTGTCAGTAGGTTAGAGTCTATGACCCCTCCACTTAAAAGTAGAGTCATTATCTTGAGCAACTGGGTTCCATCTTTCGAACATGAAGGCAATGATTACCACCCAAGAGGTGATGTTTGCTTCTCATGACTTCTTAATAAACACTTCTCAGCTCTTGACCCAAGGAGTGACTCTTGGGATTAACACTCAACCCCATTTCCCAAACAAAAGAGCAGATGAAGTTTTTCATCCCAAATTTTAGAGTAAGCAGCCGAATGACTTTTACACATCAACTAGAAATGGTATCCCTTAAGAGTACTCCTTGGCCATGGTCATGTATGGAAGAATTGTGCCATCTTAAATGATGTGGTTCAGCACTGGAATTTTTTTTTTTTTTATTTCCTAACTATCCTGTTTACCTTTCCTCTTTTCTCCTTTCTGCTTCTTTCTTCTCCTCTCTTCTCCTCTTCCCTTCCTTTTCTTCCCTTCCCCTCCTTTCCCCCATTTCTCCCCTCCCTCTCTCCCTTCCTTCTTTTTTTTAATAGTAGGAATTGAGCCCAGGCATGGTTTACCACTGAGCAATATCCCCACTCCTTTTTATTTTTTACTTTGAGACAGGGTCCATTAAGTTGCTGAGGCTGGCCTCAAATTTGCAGTCCTATTTCAGCCTCCCTAATTGTTTG